ATTTGGTTGGCCACGTACAGAACAGTTCTAGTCCACATATAAAGTACGAGACTACACAGAGCAGCTTCTAAAGGAACACTCTCTTGGTTAGAGATAATGATTATTACCTTCACCTGTCTCAGTGAAGGATGCTCTTCAGGACAGGCAGTAGATTTCTACCTTGTCAAAGTGGCTTTGGTCTCTGTAATTCTGTATTTCCTTAAACCTGTTTAACTGTTGTCAGATCTGCTTTCTACTGAGTCATGAGCACCCAGAGTGTCTCGGTAAGGAGCATATCTTGCTCAACTTTTCTCCCAGCACTTCTCACCCTGGGATCCAGGCATAGGAGTGGCAACAGAGGCAATGATCCTTCAATAACTCACAAAGCATCTTATATTTTAAATCTTCACTTAGAGATAAGCCACTGTGCTCCTGCAAGAATACCATGCCAGAATGCTGTCAGTTCTGTACAAAATAATCCTTGGTTTCCTAGGAGCACAAGCTTGGCATTACACACAACTTTAATGTAATAATGTGAATGTCTTCATAATTCCATAGCTAAAAGATGAGCATTCAACAGATCTTGAATTAGCTCACTGCTGTGGGCCTGATTTCCTAAACCACAAAAGGATGGAGATAGTCTCCAGAGCCCTTTATAGCTCTACCATGCTACAATTCTGTGAGTCAAGACTGGAATTCTAAATGCATCCTGGCAACACTTATTGACTACCTACTCCAGTGCAGATCACCACAGGGGGCTACAGACACAGGAGATAACACCTGAGCCTGACAGAGCTTGAGGCTCTATGGAACAAAAGAGGAGTGTAAACACAATAGAAACAGAGAATACCCAAGCTGGGTGTGGCAACACAGATCTGTGATCCCAATACTCATCAGGTGGAAGGAAGTGAGGATCAGGAGCTCTAGGTTATCCTTAGCTACACAGGAAATTCATGACCACCCTGAGCTACATGAGACCTTATCTCAAAAAAAAATCAAAATAAGAATTCAAAAATGGCTGGAGAGATGGCTCAGCGGTTAAGAGCACTGACTGCTCTTCCAGAGGTCCTGAGTTCAAATCCCAGCAGCCACATGGTGGCTCACAACCACCCATAATGAGATTGGATGACCTCTTCTGGTGTGTCTGAAGACAGCTACAGTGTACTCATATATAATAAATAAATAAATAAATCTAAAAAAAAAAAAAAAAAAAGAATTCAAAAATCTACGGCATGTCATGTGATTATTAGGTACAATGAGAGGACATACAGTAAAGGAATTTGAAAGAGGAAGAAATGTTGGGTGTGCTAGAACTGAGATAATTACTATGCAATTTATACATCCTTTTTCTAGTTTATTCAATTCAGTGACTTCTCTTCTAATATGCACATCAAAAAGCACCCATGGGGATCAATCTGACAAAAATTGTTCTGAGAGTACCTTGTTACAATTTCCTCCACATACAGCACGCAGAGAGCATAAACACCAAGCATAGCAGCACACACTTCTATGTAGGGGTCAAGGGTCATACAGCCCTTCTTGCCACATAAAATGTTTGGGGACTTTGATCCCACTAGAAATCTGGTCACAGAGTTAAAAGAGTAAACCTAACAAGTTCATTCCAGAAGACAATGTGTTTGATCTTTTCCCAAAGTCTACACTTCCTCAGGACGTTGAGTTAAACCAAATATCACAAAAGCTTCTCAGTAGCTGGACAGCTCACAGATTGTCATGGTTATTCTGCTATAATATTCCAACATAAGGATTTGAGCAGAAAGACATAAATATCATTCGTTGTGTTTAATGCTGAAACTGGCACCCACACACACATTTCCTAAATACCCCAGCTGCAGAATTAATCAGAAAATACTTTGCCTTTAATCATTTCACAATTTTCATCCACTTTTAACTTGATATAGATTTACCACAAAGACAATTACCTATTAGTAATCTGCACTCCTCTTTCATGCCTTGCCTTCATGTCCCTTTCAGACAGACAGTTTGACAGAATCTCAGACAGAGCTACCATAGGTTTAACCACTTCATACTGAATGTCCATTCTGCGACAGCAACCTTGAGGGACGACTACCTAACTTCCTACCTAACTTCTTCAGAAAAACTTCTAACGATTTGGTGCTAACTGCTCCCAAGCGAAAGGTCTTTTAGGCCATTTTATGAATCCAGCATCCAACCTGTCCAATGAAAATTGCAGATCACTTTGAACATTTGAGATTTGGAAAGGTAAAAATCTCAAAATGCAAGGCTGGCACCTGCACTTGCACGATTTTCACGAAGGGGGCCCCCACATGACTGACCAGACTGCTCAAGCCATCTGGCTGGCCCACGGTTATGCCAAACACAGCCATAAATCTGCTCTTGCTTGTTCCTAAGCACCTGCTGCTAACGGGACCTGGTCGATAAAAAGCACATCCAGATGCATAGCGAGGTTTGAACTATCTTCCTGGGAGGCAAAAATGTAACAGCCAGATGATATGGAGCCTAGACTTACCGATAATTTGAGAATGAAAACAGACAGCAATCTGTGTATCCAAATATGCTCACCTATCTCTTCTTGGTCATTTGGCTAAGATCAAGTGTAGAGTCAAATGCCATCATCACCTGCCTGAAAATAGGGACTAGATCATCTATCTGGTTTCCTTATGTCTCACTGCATCTTCATACTAATGTTAGATTTCCAACTCTGTCCTCCAAATCCTACTGTCTACTATTTGACTCAGAATAAATCATTGACTAGTCAACAAGAAAAAAAAACCTCCATTCTTCATAGTTATGTTGCTGTGCCTTGTACAGCTTACCATTGGATAGGCACAAGACAGCCACCACTTTGATTATCTGTGTCTATGTGACCAGGTACACAGACACACACACACACACACACACACACACACACACACACACACAACTCCACCTTATTAAAAGCATTCATTGCTGGAGTCCTCTCTTCTTTGGTCAGATTTACACTTCCCCATTCCACTCCTAAGGTAACACATTGACTTCCTTCTCCCTCCCTCCCCCAGCCTTTACTTTTGAAATATTTACTCTTTCAAACAGGTAGCTGGAACTTAGGGCAGTTTTACAAACAACTTCACTCTTCATATCTATCAAAAACAAAACAAACAAAAAAAACCCAAGAAATAATTTTGAAATGAGAATCATCTTGGAAGAAAACTTATCACGCCTCTGTTGAACAGTAATTTACCTAATTAGAAGCTTCATCCCATGGGCAGTTTTCTTCAGAGGCCTTCAGGGGCCTAAGTGGAACAGATCCAAGTCACAGTCTCTTTAAGCCTTCCAGGTACAAAAAAAAAAAAAAAAAAAAAAAAAGGCCAAAGGCTACAGCTCTAAACCCTATGTCTCTCTGACCAAGGCAGAGATTTCCTGGACCCAGAGCTACCAACTCAGCCATGGCCTGGAAACAAGTCGTGAGAAATTCCAATCATAAGCATCTAATGGCAGAGATAGATGGACCCAAACGAACTAAAAAGACAGAGACTGACATCAGAATTCAATGTGCTTCCATCAAGAAGAAAAGCAGAAACGAAGCAAGAAAAACGTGGAGTGAGCCGAAGGAAAGCAAACTGTTTTGTGTTATGTATATCCCTGCCCGGCTGGCTGTACATTCTCACTTGTACCACATAGAAGCACATGGTGCATGTACACAAACACACACACACACACACACACACACACACACACACACACAGAGAGAGCCGTAAAACTTGGAATGGAAAAGAGGTAAGAAGCCTTCAGCAACCTGCCTAACTTCACAGAAAAACTCCACAAAGTCAGAGGCAGTAACAACAAAAGGTCCTTTAGCCAAGAGTTCATTTGATCTTATTTTACCAGCGCTGTTATAGAACATTATAACACTGTTCCCACCGCTGTTATTCATGCCGGCTGCAATCATCAAAAGTCTAGCAAAGTAGCCCCCAAATCACTCTGAGATGCACATCGAAAGCCTGTAGCCCTTAGAGAAAGGCAAAAGTGAGTCCCAGTGGACTGAAGCTCGTTTTAATTACCTATTCATTTTGGTCCAGGAGACCCCTTGGCATCTGTCAACCACACCCCAGGATGGGAAATCTATTTCCAGGTCACCCATGAGCACAAGCCATGGCAGGCTCACATCAGGTGTGGCCTCAGCAGACACGTACACCTCTTGTTTCCTCAAGGTCCTCCTTAATACAGTAATCCCAAAACAATTAGCACTGCTCCCATCCCTAGAGCATGGAATCATTCTCAGCATACCCAGTAATCATGCCACAGAGCACTAGACTCCAACTGGCCACCTCCCTGGAGCAAGCAGTGACCTACACAGACTTCAAACAGTATCTCTAGTACTAGGTATCACATTGCATAAAATAATAACTCCAAAGCTAGCATCAGGCTTACACAGAACGTTTATAATTTTTTTTATACTCAAGTGTGGTTTTTTTTTTCCTTTTTGAGCCTTGGGATGCTGAGTGATTTTTGAAAGAAAGAACAATTCACATTTCAAAAGCACCTATATGGTGTTCCCACAGCTCCTTTATGGTACAGCTGATGCTGGGACCAATCTTCAGGTTCTCAATTCAGTTTGGTTTTCAAATGAATGGCTAGGTAAGAACTAGGGCTTACAGACATAGGACCCTGAATAGCAGATGAAGTGGATATTGTTGAAGGGTGTTATAACAAGGGTTACTCCCAGAGTTGGGAAGGGTAGAAAAGAAGTCATTTATCACTAAGTTACTGTCAGTGAAAGGAGGTGAATAATAAAGACAAACTTTGTCAGAAATATCCCCACATCAGGGCTATGAAATTGATATTAAAATTCTTGGCCTTTTAAGAAAGTATGTATTCTACTATAACCACAAAACAGTGAATTCAATAAACACAGCCTTTAGATACTGTTCAACAAAAGAGTAAAATCATACAAGGACCACCACAAATGCCCAGGAAGTACAGTGCCATCCCTTGAACCCAAATTAACCATAATCAGACAACTGTATCCAATGAAAACTCACTCGAAGGCAAAGAAGAGTGTACATGTCCCCAGGATGAGGAAGAGGGTCAAGTAGAAGATGCCCTTTTGCCGGGCCATCATGACACGGCCATCACAGCAGAAGGTGTTCCTGCCTGGGAGTTTCTCCCATTTCCGTGTCACCTTCTTTCTTACCACCATCACAGACATGATTGGAGTTCCTGGTCCAAGATGGGCTTTGTGACTACTCGAGAGAAGATGCGGAGGCTGAGCCCAGCTTTAAAATCAAGCCGTCTACTATTGTTGCCACTGGGTCAAACATTATCAAGAGCCCTAAGAAAAAAAGAAAAGGAGGTGGGGGAGTGTTGAAACAAGAGTAACAAAATACAACTGAATCCTCATTTCCCAGAGACAGAAAGATGAATACTGTCTAAAGGAGTGGGAATGGGAAAGTTTGAAAATTTTATTTCTGATCTATGTTTGTTCTCTATGAAGGAAAACAAACAAACAAACAAACAAAGACCTTCTCTAGAGGGTGAATGGACTAATATTTCTTAAATAATCAATCCTTTTTTCAAACCCATACTGATTTTGGTTAACTATGATATGAGTCTTGGAAATAAGTAGGAATTCTGTAAGTGGCCATCCCAATGAGTAAACTTTACAAATAAGGAAACTGAGGACCAGTGAGAGGAAATGACATATTCAGGGTCACACAGCAACAAAGCTGAGAGGAGAAAGCATGGCTACGGACTTCCAGGCCCAGCACTTCCTACTACACCACAATGTTCTTTATTCTCCTAAAGTAAGAGATCTGTAAAAATAATACTAGCAGGTTGTTGTTGTTGCTGCTGCTGCTGCTGCTGCTGCTGCTGTTGTTTGTCCCTAAGTAGCCCTTCCCATACCTCCTCTACTTCTCCTTCTTCAAATATTACTCACAGGAGGGAATAAGTAACCCTCTGGTTGGGGTAGGCTGTTCTAGGCATTCTGTAAGCATACATACATTGTATTTACACAAAACAGATTTCCCCCTAATCAAACCTTCTGTAACTTCCGGAGTCCGAAATGAAATCGTCTTGCTGGTCTAGTTTAACATTTGTGAGCCCCTTAATGAAACCACATCATATTGTAGATAAAAAAAGGCTTCCTTAAACAGGAGAGATTCTGGGATGGTTGGCAACTGATTGGGTTGGGGGTGGCTGAGGGCGGTGGCAGCAACTAAGAAAAGTCCCTTGGGGGGCTTTCTAGGACATTTCACCAGTATCAGCTCCATTCAGCATCCTGGATTTCCAGGCCTCGCCTTTCCCAGTCACTGTCATCCTTCTCTTCCTCTCAGGTGCTGGGCCATGTCCTCTATTTACTGGCACCACATGCCCCATGCTGGCAAGAATGAGGCAGAAGCCTGCAGCCCGATGAGCAAGAAACAACCAGCCAGAGATCATTCCGGAGCTAGAGAGGGCAAAGGTCCAAAAGGGGACTAAGAGCCTAGCAACAAGATGGAAAGGTGTAAGGCTTGGGAGAGGGGAAGGGGCCCCAGAGGTGCAAAGATCACTTCCTTTGTGTAAAACTAACCTGGAAAACAATCCCCCCACCCCCATAAACTGACCCAGCAGGAGAACACAGACTAGGAAGGGGGACCCAACCTGGGAGAAGGAAAATTAAAATCCGTCCGAAAGCCGCGACCGTGTTCAGCAGCCTAGAGCCAGTAGCCAGAGCTGTGCAGCGGGCTCGTCCTCAGGAGGCCCGCCCTGCCTCCGCCACGCAGCCGACCACCGCCCCAGGCTGGCTGGGACGCGCGCCACATCCACACGCACACGCGTCCACACGCTCGTACACACTCACACACGCCCCGCCACGTGTAGTCACCCCGGGCCAGGGGCTCGGTGGCTGGCGAGCTGAGCAGGGCGGTGCCAACGTCCCTGGGTCCCGGTGGAGCTGAAGGGGGATGCATGCAGCCCTCCAGAGAGCCGAGCCCCGGAGACCCCCCCCAACCCCCACCCCTTGTTACCTGAACAAGGGACACTGAACTCCGCCAGCAACAGAGGGCAGAAAGTGCACTGTCCCGGGGGATCCTGTCAGCAGCCAAAGGTGGTAGCGACTTCTCCCTGACAGGGAGGGTGCCTCCTCCTGACAAGGGGCCCCAATAGTCGGGGCCCTAAACCAGCTGTGGCAACCGCCCACCGCTGGCGGAATGGAACGCTCCTCACGTCACCAGGTCGCTCCAGTAGTTGCTCGTCTTCCATTGGCTAAAGGATCACAGTCCCGCCATCCCGCCCCCAACGCGTACTACCATTGGCTACTTCGAACGCCACTCCGGAATCCTTCCGCCCACTCCCCCACCCATCTCCTTGCTACAAGCCCACCTGCCAAGCTCCAGCCAGCTTCTCTCTGGGGTCTGAGCACCAGGACGTAAAGTGTTCTCTTCTATTAATATAGTTACGCAAAAGCGGAGGCGTAAAGTGGTGTGGACCGGACAGGGGAGGAGCCAAGAGCAGCTTCCCCACAAACACACAGCGAGATGCTGAAGCAATACTTGCTCACAAATCCGGACTCTAACCCTTAATTCCGTCTGCCCATGGGCCTCTCCATTGCCGGTTGCCTTAAAATCGACCAAGATCTGTTTGTGAGCATCTTCATGTTACGTTCTCTGCCTCCTAAGTTCCATTCAGGAGCCTGAGACTCCCACGCAATCTCGAAGGCTTTCAGACCAGAAAAAGAATATAAAAAAGGATAACCATATCTGAGAATGTCGTTTTGGGATGTTGAAAACAAGTAATTGACATTAAGGAAGTTGGAGAAACTCCACTGCGACAACATAAATATTTCCGGGTAGATAATGATGTAAAGATTGCCAAAAGGTAGTTAATTTCTATTTTCTATTAGAATTTGAGATCTTGTTGGGTGTGGTGAAGCAGAAGTAAGTAGATTTGAAGCCACTCTGGTTTTACATTTGAGTTCCATGCCATCCAGGTCTATACATAGTATGATCCTGGTTCAAATGCACAAAACAAAAGAACTGGAAATATTATGATAATAAAGGGAGGGGCATCCAAGGTAGAATTTTCATACATCAACCAGATTGATTCTTTCCTTCTGGTGCCTCCTGGCAGTTAGTTACCGCTACTGAGCCTCTGCTATCAACTGTAGTAACACCATTTGAAACTGGAGTGGGGGAAACAGTTGAGAATCACACCATTATATTATAAGGTGGGTGTTACAAGGGACCAGGTCTGTTTCCACCAGTATGGCTGGTTGCTACCTTCCAGATAATATGAGGGATGATTAAAGGTGACCTCTCCTTACCTACCACATTGTCTATGTTACCAGCCCAGTTTTCCTAGAGCTTGACCAAAGTTTTCCTAGGGTCATAATAGTTGGAATTAGTTCAGAAGTGACTGCCAGTGCTCTCCCAAAGGTGGTCTTGTGGTAGTTTTAATGAAGGACCTCATACATGGTCAAGAATTATTATGCCTCTAGAGTATTTTGGTCCCATATAATATTAAAACAAAATTCTATATAATGATGATTGTTCTTGAAACATTTATAGCATTCTCTCATCAAAAATTTTAAAGGAATTAAAAACCATGACCCAAGTGTCTTACAAGAGTAATGTGTTATAATTAATTTGTAGTTGAAAGTATGCCTTCATAAAGCTCCCATTGTTCCTGAGCACTCGTGCTGACTATAATCATCAGTTTATTCCTTATGAAGCCTATGACCAGCATTATTGCATCCAACTCCTGGAAGGTACTGGTATTATTACACATGGCATGGAAGGGACAGGAATTTCTCTTGGCCCCATCAGCTCTCTGAATTCCAAAGCCTGTGCACATGAGATGCCCTTAGGAATCGACTGCTCCGCCTGGCTGCCATTCTTGTGACTGGAGAGCAATCAAAACGAAGTGACCAAAGCAAAACATGCTTTGATCATCACTGAGATGCAGGTGAAGCCTAGGAAGTTCTGGAATGAACATAACAGGGCAATGCATTCCTGAGCTCTGCCCCTCCCTGGTCTGGGTCACATTCCCTCTGGGATTAAGTGGTTTTGTAAGTCAGGCTTGTTTTATTACAGTTTGTTGCCAGTCTTGCTCACTACTGAAAGAAAATTAAAGAAATGTTGATGGATAAGCATTTCATAGCATGTCTTTCTATATAATTACATCATTTTACAAAAATCCTTAAATTCTTAATAAAAAGTATAAGCTGAGAATTGGTTTTCCTTTCCTCTTCTCTTTCTTTTTCTTCCTTTTTGCTCTTTTCAACAAACTTACCTACTTTATGCATCTAAATCCTTCTTAGGTCTTTTGAAAGGGAGTTACAGTCATCCAAGGAGCACTAGAAACACCACTAGAATCTAGGGGCAGCCTTCCATTTTATAAGACAGCTCATGGCTTAGTGGTATATGTTCTGATATGCTATTTTTTTAAAAAAAGACTTTATATTCCTGTTTCTGGCATGTGTGCACATTTGTGTATGCATGTGTAAGTGTAAAGTAATGTTGAATCGATTCAGATCCCAAATGCCACCACTGGATTGGACACTGCCTGTCAATGTTGTTCCAGAGACCATCCATAATCACAGCCAAGTACAGACACACCAAATTGGACCTCATGGTGGCTCCTTTTTTTTCTCTATTCTTAACACTCACACCCAACCCAATCCACACGTGCCTCTTCTCACCCCACTTGCCTGACTTACATTCCTCTCCCTACTCTCTGGCTATAAATAAATAAGAGTAAACAAATCATAAGTGCCCTGCCCACACATGACGAGCTAGTGCTCCTAAGCAAGATCTGCTTCTGTGGTGCCTGGAATGATAGAAGGACAGTGTTTTGTAGAGAAAAAAAACGTAAGCCTTATTTATGACCAGGCAGAACTAGGTTCAAATTCGGGCTACTAAATATCTGAGGTAATTGTTGGCAAGCAATTTACATATTCTGTGCTTATTTTCTCATATGTAAAACAATGCTACTACAGATAGCCCTCCATCTCACACAACTCTAGATTTAAAAAGTTTCAGAAAAAAAAAAGTATCTCTACTGAACATGTGGAAACATTTTCTTGTCATTCTCCCAGACAGCTGAGAGTAACATCATTAAAATGGCATCTACAGGCCGGGCAGTGGTGGCGCAGGCCTTTAGTCCCAGCACTTGGGAGGCAGAGGCAGGCGGATTTCTGAGTTTGAGACCAGCCTGGTCTACAGAGTGAGTTCCAGGACAGCCAGGACTACACAGAGAAACCCTGTCTTGAAAAACCAAACAACAACAAAAACAAAATGGCATCTACAGTGCAGTCAGTATCATATGTAACCTAGATTTTAAATACATGGGAGGACTGCAAAGGCTATATGCAAGCATTACTCCATTCTCCATGAGATATTTGACCATCCATGCACTTTCATATTCATAGGCATCTTAGAACCAAATCGCCTATGGATAACGAGGAACAACTATACCCACTTCATGGAATTAGAAAGGCTATTAGAGGTTATGTGTTCTAAATGTTTGGCATATAGGAGAAACACAATCCAGCTCAAGTGTCACGGTCATGTATATGCAACCTGCCATCTCCCTACCCTCTTCCTTTAGTCATTTTGCTGAATAGGAGCAAAATGACTAAATTGGGATTTAAGAATGAGACCTGTATGTGGGACATGTACTTCTAGCTGGGCTGCCTTATCTGGGCTCAGTGGGAGAGGAAGCACCTAGCCTTACAAAGACTTGAAATGCCAGGGTCAGAGGATACTCAGGGGTCTCCACCTGCTCAGAGGAGAAGGGGAGCGGGGATGGGGAAAGGATTGTGAGAGTGGGTGACTGGGGGAGGGGCAATGAGCAGGAAGTAAAGTGAATAAGTAAAAACAATTAAATTTTTAAAAAAAGTTCAGACAAACCATTATGGAACAACAACAAATAAGAATCTCTAAAATTACTATTGAAAAAACACAAAAGAGTGAGATTCACTCTTACTTTTTAGTCTCCATGACATCCACGTGCTACATTTTCTTACTCTCTACGTTAACCGTTGAGTTTAATCCTTATCTGACAGGCTGCTTGGTTTCCAAAGCTTTACTCTAACTGGGTAAAGTTTGCCCTTAGTCTAGTTTGACCTTAGTGTAGTCAAACCTCTGTTCTTTAGCACCGTCTTCTTTATGAATCCTGAACACTGCAGTCATAGTCTCTGTTTTAGCAGATGAAAGAGAAATGGAAACCACTTTCATTAAGCGACCCACAGAGTCACAGCACGATACTTAGCTTGTTGGCTTTTCTTTGAGCATAAGCAACACCATTAAGATGTTCACACATGAAAGCCAAACATACAAAACAGCCAATAAAAACTGCCTAGGGTGTCAAAGAAAGTGTTCATCAAAATGCAATTAATTGAATGCCCATTTCAGGTTCCAGAAACTGAACCTCACTCTCTGTTTCTCTTGTTTGTTTCTGGTGGTATTTTTCTTTTTGTCACAGGGTCTTGCTATGTGATCCAGGCTGTACTTGAACTTTGGATTCTCCTGCCTTAGCCCCTCAAATACCAGGATTATAGGACTACCTCACCATGCCCATCCTTCAAACCCCTGTTTCACCTCTGTCCCTTGTTGCTCATGCTGGTTCCCAATTTGTTTCCATTTCTGGATTGTGGCTTTCTGACTTTACCTGGAACAGTTTTAGGTGCCTTACTTGATCTTTCAACTCCCTCGACTAGCACTCTCTCATTAAACAGGAATCACAACAGCAAAATAGAGGTCTTTTATTTAGGAGCCTCTCTGAGCCAGGAATTGTTTTAGGTGTTTGATACAGATAAGGTTCCCAGATTAGGGTCTAAACTTGTCCAAGTGAGAGCAATTGATACTGACTTGGCACATCCCTGGTCTCTGACTCTGCCCAGCCCTCTCATTCCTGGAGCTGACCTCAAAACATTGTGTAGTCCACAAATATAAACTGGTTTGCTAGTTATTCTCTGAGTATGTATTGATCACCAACAGTTTGCCCAGCATGTACTGAGCACTATGGAAAATGCCAAAGAAGTATATGGCATGATCCCAGCCTCCAGGAAACTTAAAATATTCTAATCGAGAAAAGACTAGCATCTGAGCAGTCATTAAAGATAAATACTAAACAGTGCAGAGTCAAATTCTCAACTACCCATTGCCTAGCCTCCAATTAAAGAAAGCTGGATTCAAAAG